CAAGGCCCCGGATTCAAACCCAGGAAAAAAAAAAAAAAAAAAAAAAAAAAGAATAGGAGACTTTGGAATTCAGTAGGTGAGGACATTTTTGGACAGATGTTTTCATTTATGCGAACCATGCTACCATCTGTGACAGGCCCCCAGAACTGTGGCTTTCTCCAGCACAGTGGCATTTGCTGAGAACTTGGAATCCAAATGCGCACTCGGGTTTCACACTAAAGACACTGAAGGTGGTCAGGCAGCACGGCTCTGCTGAGAAAAGCCTGTGTGGCTCCGTGGCCCCATGGACGTGGTGGTCCTGGTGTGCGGGACTAATGGGAGCAGTGGGTTGGTGGCTGGTGGTCAGGGCCTCAGTCTGCCCTGGCCACTGGGTGGTGGGCTTGCTGCTTCAGCTTGCGTTGCTGCTGGTGCCCTGAAACAGCGTGGTGGCTTTTAGCAGGTGTGGCGTGACTACTACTGAGAGTCTGATATCCGTGCAAACTTCTGTTATTTCAGCCCCTCGAATTCCTCCAGAGAAGAGAATTTTCACAACCACACACACGCCAAATTGTTTGTTCCAGGATGTGGATGAGAGGTAAGTGGTACTGCACGCGCTTGTGCACACGCACACACCCACACACCCATCTTGGGATCTGTTTGTGGACAGACTGCGCAAGATGCTCCCGGGCTGCAGGTGGTGCATGGCTGGGTAGTTACCTAGCAGCACGCAGTGAGCCCCAGGAGCTTTCATATCCAGACAGTGCCACCGTCTGTCACACTGGCGCCAGGACAGCTGTGGCTCTCACTCCACAGGCAGAACTCCTGTGCACACAGGCAGTGACGCAGAATGCTCGATCAGTGGTGGACCGCATGTGTGCGATGGTCCTTGAGGCCACTTTTTAATTTGTATTCGCAGCACAGAATGGTCCCACTCGTCATGGGGAGTTGTGCATGGACGTCAGCATCTCCACTCCTTATTTTTATGTTGGAGCTGAAAAGCCCCTGTGACCAAAAGGTGCCATAGCTGCTGTGAGATTGTAGCACAAGAGAACCCGCGACTGTGGCAATGCTGGGGCCAGCAAACCTGCTGCCCTCCCAGCCATGTGAAAGTGTAACTCGTGCATAATACTTGCTAGAAATGATAAACTGATATGCTACTGCTACTGTCATTATTTTATAGTGTTCTCTTTTCACTCGTTACTTTAAAAGTTGATTATGATTGAGCACACCTGTAATCCCAACGTTCTGGGAGGCTGAGGCAGGAGGATCTCAAGTTTTAAGCCCAGGCTGGGCAAAGTACTAAGACCCTGTCTCAAAAATTAAAAAAGGCTAGAGATATAGTGCTGGGTTAAAGTCCTGGGTTCAACCTCTAGTACACACATGCATGCGCGCACAGACAAATACACGCAAATCGGTAAGCCATGAATGGTGTAAGTGGGGATTTCTGGAAAGCTGGTAGTTGCTCTGATGAGCCTGTCTTCATGGTCCTGTTTAAACTCGTCCCAAGGAAGCAATGGTAAATAAGGGGTGGGTGCAAGGACCAAGTCAGGACCTCCGCAGGGCCCGTTTGCCAGCCTGCGTGCAGAAGCCCCACCCCAGCTGGATCAGAGACACCCAGTTCTGCCCCTCAAGTGCCTTCTCCCAGCTCCTCCTCAGCTGCATGAAAATCCAACAGCTGTGGCAATGGACAGGAAGTGTGTCCTCGGGAAGCAGCTCAGGAAGTGGCACAAGGACCTGGGGCTTCCTGAAACAGCCAAGTCTCCTCCTCGCTGCTTGGAGGGTCGGTTCTTCCCGCTGTCCAGCCTGAACGAGGCTCACAAGGTGCCACTGGCAGAGCCCTGACACCTGTAGCCTGGCTGGCTCAGGTGTCCTGTGGAACCACCTCGCAGAAGCTCTGCAGAGTCTCTGACAAGGTTGCACCCACCCTTCCACACCAGGACCAGCATGGAGCCTGGGAGCTGCACCAGCCAGGCCTTCCCAGCAGTCTCATTCATGCAGTGGTCTGTTCCACAGGGTCTGCCAGTCTCCTGCTCTCCCCTTCCCTCCTGCTCCCCTGGCCAGACTGTGACCTGGGGGTGCCAGGAACACTGTGTCCCTCCTGCCTCAAGGAAAGCATGAGTGAGCCTCAGACAAGGAGATAGTAAGGGTAACACCAGGCCCATGAGCGAGTTCCTCACAGCAGGACATCCTTCCACGAAGAGGAAGAAAGGGAGGAAACATCAGCAGAAGCCTGGAGGTCCTGACCTAGCGAGGGCACCATGAACAGGACCAGAGGCCCTGCAGCGGGCCTGTTCCAGTGACGGACCAGTGCCCAAGACACAGCGTGAGCACTCTGGAGAACACCTGAGCCACCCAGAAAAGGCCAGCCCCCTCCTGGGGCAGCCAAGGCAGAGGACCTGATGAGGCCCCTAAGTGACAGAAGGAGACGTCCTGAGTTGGACCCTTGTGCTTGAGGGCTTCTGGGCAGGGCTTGTTAAACAGCAGGCCATGTGTGGCCAGACTGGTGGATGACATTAGAAGAGAGAAAGTGCGAAGTCGCTGTATGCTCTAGTCCTGCGGGAAACCAGGCCCAAGCTGCAGCACACAGGACAGGAGCAGAGCAGATTCATGGCACAGGCTCACTGGACCCTGGGACCCTTGTGGCTTCCAAATTCAAGGATTTCTGTTCCCTGACACCCAAAGCACAACCTTTGGAGAACCTAGAGTCTGACCCATGAGGGGGGTTCCAGAAGTGGCCTGCTTGGCTGGCTGTCTGGTAGTTGTCTTTCAGAGGGCCCCCACTCACTCGTGTCCCCTTGCCTGCAGGGCAGTCCCCCTCCTGGGATACCTACCTCAAGACCTGATCGAGACGCCGGTGCTCGTGCAGCTGCACCCCAGCGACAGGCCCTTGATGCTCGCCATCCACAAAAAGAGTAGGTTGAACTCCCCACACAGCCAGCAGGCTCTTCCCTGCACCCACGCACGTTCCTAGGAGTTAGGTGGCTAGGATATGAGCAGTGGCGATGCCCTACTCCCCGCCATGTCGAAAGAGCGGTCCCTTGCAGCCAGACATCCCAAGGGCTGGGGCATGTGGATTTTAATCTTGGCCTCGATGGCAGCAGGGGGACACCAATTGGGCAGTGGCTGGGAAGGGAGTGATGCATGTCCCCGTCAAGCTCAGCCCTAGACCCAGTGACACGGGAACCGTCGTCCCTTGTTGTTAGGAGCTGAAGTAGGGCTGGAGGCGGTGCTCACACCCCTGAGGCTGCCATGATTCCTGGCTACTCCCGGGCCCTGACACGGTTCCCATCCCTAGTCCTGCAGTCCAGCGGGCAGCCTTTTGACTACTCTCCTATCCGGTTCCGTGCCCGGAACGGGGAGTATATCACCCTGGACACCAGCTGGTCCAGCTTCATCAACCCCTGGAGCCGGAAGATCTCCTTCATCATCGGGAGGCACAAAGTCAGGGTGTGAGTGCTCCCTGGCCTGGCCCCACTTTCCCAGCAGAGGGCGGAGGCCGAGCCCAGGGACCAGGCCCTGGGGGAACCAGGACTCGGTACCTGGCCCAAGGGGAGTGGGCGGGACAGCTGGCCGGGTGTGTTACAGACCAGAGGCAGATGGGCCCTGACAACAGGCTGTGTTGAAACCTCCCAGGGGCCCTTTGAATGAGGATGTGTTCGCAGTGCCCCCGTGTATGGAGGAGAAGGCCCTGCACCCCAGCATCCAGGAGCTCACTGAGCAGATCCACCGGCTGCTGCTGCAGGTGGGTGGGTATCTGTGCTGTCCCCGGCTCCGCTCGCTGCTGCCCTGGTTGCGGATCACCCACTCACATGGCTCCAGCCATCTTCTCTGGATGTGCCCGAGGGCCAGGGTGGGCATGGTCTCTGCTATCTAAGAACCCCACACACACCCTTGAGCTTTTCCCAGCCCTGCAACCAGGTGTCTGTGTAGGATCCAGCAGCTGGGGGGAGCAGGACCCACACCCACACCCAGCTCCAGCCTGGCCCCACAGTCCACTCAGGACCCCTCCTGGTAGAAATACAACTTAACCAGGTGGCCAGGCACTTGGTCAGCCCAGCCGCCTGCCAGGTCTCGCTGTGTGACCTCGGACAGGCCGCCGACTGCTCTGAATTGCTGTGGGGAGGATGGCGCCATGGGGCCTTGTGTCTACTTGCTGTCTGTTCTCCTGCAGCCCGTGCCCCACAGTGGTTCCAGTGGCTATGGGAGCCTGGGCAGCAATGGGTCCCATGAGCACCTCATGAGCCAGACTTCGTCCAGCGACAGCAACGGCCACGAGGAGTCCCGCCGCCGCAGAGCTGTATGTCCCCTTTCTGTCCTTGCCACCCCACAGCCCCTGGGCCCTAGGCCCCTGACAGGGTGGTCCCCTTGGAGTTGTGTCATAATCTCTTTCAAGTTGAAGCAGCTCAAACCCATGGTTACACACTTGAAGGAAAGTATTTTTAAGGCAGGCAACACAAGCAGAGCTGAAGATCTAAATGGAGGTAGAAAAAGCCTGCGTGCTGCGTCGCTTTGCGTCCTGCTGATCTCCAGAACCATCGTCCAGTCCTATTTCGCTTGGCATCTGTGATCTGTCTGCTGCTCAGATCTCCTGAGCCTTCACTGTGTCACCAGAACGATTCTCACTGTGCCTGGTGCCCCTGGGGACAGACAGGGGGAGGTCTCCTGGAATGAATAACGTTGTTTTGTTTTTCTTCAAGGAGATTTGTAAAAATGGTAACAAGACCAAAACCAAAAGTCAATTTTCCCATGAATCTGGAAAACAAAAGAAAAAATCTATTACAGGTGAGAAAATAATCTGTTTCCTTCCCAGTACATTAGTGCAGAGGAGAGACTTGGCAGTGGGGCCAGGGCTCACAAAGGCAGTGAGGCTGCCTCCTGGGTGTGTGCCACGTCTCTCCTTGCCTAGCAGCAGAGGAAGGGTGGCAGGGACTGGCATCCTGGCGGGCACCTGTCACCCATGGGCCTGTGGAGGTGTGGAGCTGTGCCTCTCTGCCCTGGGCCATGCCTGCCAAGTGCACCCCAAGCTATGGCCTTGGTGCTTGGCTGAACCCCCTGCCCTCCAGGGTGAGGGGTCTCACCCTCGCACTTAGCTCTTACACACACTGGCACGCGCATGTAAACACAGCTGTCTGCAGAGTTGGCCCTGCAGTCTGCACTGTCACCACTAGCCCTGCCAGCAGCAGAAAGTACGGCACTGTACAGTGGGGACACGGCTTTGTGCTCTTGGGGCCACAGGCATGTGGGGTCCATGATGGGACAGGCCAGAGGCCACAGCATGGACCCCAGGTGAGCCCAGGTATGGCATAAGCCTGCTGCCAAGAGTTACACTTGATAGTGCAGCGTAGGCCCCTGGGCCCTTATTGGCCCCTAAGTTTACAGTTCATCTGAGGCCTGGCCTTTCTCCTCTGGGCCCTGACTCCGGGGGACAGCCTGGGCCAGGGCCACCTGGCAGCAGAGAGAAACAGGCCTGCTGGTTGCAGCTCCTCTGAGCTCCCTCTGCCGGGCAACCTGGCACTCAAGGGTGTGTGCCTCATGCCTGTCACTGTGTTTGCATTCTGAAGCACACCCTGCATCCCTGGCCCTGTCTTTGGATAGAAGTACAATGCTTCATAAACAGTGTGCTCTTAGGAAGCAGAAATATTACATGAAAGAACCGTTCTTTTTTTTTTTTTTTTTTTTTTTTTTTTTTCAGAAATACCAAGTGGCGCCCTGGCTCAGGTGAAAGCTGCACCTATCCCGGAAAATGACAGCTCAGGGACCAGCTTGCCCAAGGTCAGCTTCCCCGAGGAGCTGGCCTGCAAGGACCAGCCCGCCTGCTCCTACCAGCAGATCAGCTGCCTGGACAGTGTTATCAGGTATGCAGGGCACCAGCCTTCCCCCAACCTGAGGAGCTGTCCACTCCTTCCACCGACCGAAGACCCCGCCATCCACACAGGTACCTGGAGAGCTGCAACGAGGCTGCCACCCTGAAGAGGAAGTGCGAGTTCCCTGCAAACATCCCATCCCGAAAGGCCTCAGTCAGCCCTGGGCTGCATGCTGGAGGTACCCAGTCCCCTCTGAGCTGTCAGTGAGCTCACTTCCGCCCCAGGGGATTAAACCCTAAGCCTCCCTCCCACACTAATCAGATTGGTTCATGGATGCGGAATAAGACTGTCGGCTACTTTTAAAATGATCCAAGTGGCTCGAGAGTTAGCGACCTTTTACAAGCTGGAGGTCAGGGTGATTCTGTTCTTAGAACACTGCACTGCTGGAGGTCTGGGGACACCAACCCCCTCCTGCAGCCGTGCAGGTCTTGTGTTGTCACCCGAGGGCAGGCCCCTAGCCTGTGAGAGTAGGTGACCGCTCTGTGCTGTGTTGCGGGGGGTCACGGGCAGGATCAGAAATAGGACATCCCATTGCTGAGTGTCACACGAGAGTGGACAGGCGCAGAGACAGAGAAGTAAATTGCTTGTTGACACTGCCCCGTTACTGCCACCTTGTTTTGGGGGGAAGTCCCTTGCCTCAGGCCACCAGGGGCCATGGATCCAGACAGAGCCCTGGCTGCCTAGCTGCTGTGCCCCACCCAGGGGATTTGGGGTCTAATTGAGAGTGTTCTTGCTTCAGATATCCCCTTCCCCACCTCTTGTGCACCCGCCAGGCCCAAGCACCCACAGGGCAGGGGCTGCAGCCCAGCATGGGGCCTGCATGGGCACTTGCATTTCACCCTGCAGCTGAACAGTTTGTCTTGACCGCCTGTCTGTCTGCTCCCATTCTCTCCCATAAAGAGGCTGCGTCGCCCTCCAAGGTGAGCAGCCACGCGGAAGTGAGTGCCCACCTGAGCTCACTGGCACTGCCTGGCAAGGCTGAGAGCGTGGTGTCCCTCACCAGCCAGTGCAGTTACAGCAGCACCATTGTCCATGTTGGGGACAAAAAGCCACAGCCGGAGTTAGGTATGCTGGCGGGCTCCTTGGGGCTGTGGGGAGAGTTGTGAACTCAAAAATAACCATGAGATGTTGCACTGCCGTCTTAAACTTTCAAATTCAGCTAAGCCTTTCAGAGAATCCCACTGTAACCCAGGAGGGTTCCAGGAAATGCATTCCCTAAAATGCAGGGCACTCCTGCCCCTTGGCAGTGCCATGACTGCCCTGGGACCCAGCCCCCTCCTCTCATCCCTACTTGGGTCGAGGGCCTGTCCTCCATCCAGCCTCACCTCTGGGTGAAGGACCGGAGCCAGTACAGGCCGGGAGAAGACTTCCAGCCACAGGCGTTCTCAGCAGAGTCTCTTGGTGTGCTTCACTGGAGAGAGGGCTGGGAGGTGCACAGTGCCTGCTGTCAGGGTCTGACACCAAGCCTCCTCTTCAGGACAGCCAGTGGCCCAGCTACCCTCCACTGCCCTCCCTCCATAGGCCATATGGCCACAACTGCCACCATGTAGCCCCAACCCAGCCTGTCTGTGCTGATTGCCAAGGACAGCTTGGCAAAGTCTCTTCCACATCCATCTGCTGAGAAGTTTCTGTGTCCTGAGGCCTGGCTCTGCTCTTGTCCTTTTACCCAGGGTCCTCAGAAAGCCGGAGGAAGGCTGGGTCCCCCTCACACCATGGGCTGAGCCAATGACCTGCGCTGTCTGTAAGCACAGTGGAGACAGCAAGAGGTGCTTTCTCGTTACAGAGATGGTGGAGGACACCACCAGCGGTCCTGAGTCCCTGGACTGCCTGCCTGGCGGCCCCAGCCAAGAGAAGGGGCCCCTGCAGAAGCTGGGCCTCACCAAGGAGGTGCTGGCCTCCCACACGCAGAAGGAGGAGCAGAGCTTCCTGCAGAAGTTCCGGGAGGTGCGGCGGCTGGGTATCCTGCAGGCCCACTGCCAGTACTACCTGCAGGAGAGGTCTAGGGGACAGCCGAGCGAGCGTGGTGAGCAGTGACCCCAAACTGAATGAGAGAGTTAAAAGCATTTTTCTTTTTCCTCTTTTTTTGGAACCAGGGATTGAACTCTGTTCTTTGGGCTTCCAAGGCAGGCAGTGGCACCACTGAGCTAAATCCCTGGCCCCAAAGGCATTTTTCTTGACGGTATTGAGTCAATCTGGTCTCAGAACCAACGCATCCTGGCTCAGAAATGTCCGTGTGTCACATAGCCCTCATCGAGGCAGACAGATTCTGTGTAGCTGTGCAGCCTGGGGACGTTTCAAGGACGGAACCTCTTGTCATCAAGGGAATGGGCTGTGAAAAGGACACAGTCCCAGGCCAGCCTGCAGACTGCCAGCCAGGGCCATTTCTGGGCTCCTTCACCTTCCTTGCTGGGAAACTTTGGGGGGCACCCCACTTGCCACTAGCCATGACCCCAGGAGAAGCAGCGGAACACAGTGCTGCTGGGCAGTTTGTCAGTGTCCCTGGAGGACAGGGACCAAGCCCTGCCCTTCTCCCTGGCCAGGCTGGCCCCAGACCCACTCTGCAGACCCCAGAGGTGTGTAGACCCCGCTGTGCATGAAGGTGCCCTTCAGGACAGGAACCTACGGGTGCTTGAAGTTAAGAATTCAATGGAAATGGCTACTTCTTCACTGCCCCTTCTGACCCAAGAGCCTTCTCCCAGCTGCCTTCCAGTATCCCACGGGTGGAGCCCGGGCTGTGACCCCGCTTCCTGCCAACACTCCACCACCAGCCACACCCATGGACAGGACCTGGCCCCTGACCCAGCCTCCTGCCCGTACCCCAGATGGGGCTGCAATGATGCCATTCCCCCCTCGCCACAGCTCAGAATGAGTGAGCCAGGGGGACACCACCAAGACCACCTCCCCTGGCTCCTGGGCAGACACCCAGGGAACACCTGCAAGGGTGAGAGGAGCTGTACCTCCTTGAGGTTCTCCTTTTCCTTTGCAGTTGTTTTTGTTTTGGGTGCTGGGTATCGAACCCAGGGCCTTGAGCATGCTGAGCACACTGTTGCCGCAGAGCAACAGTAGGGTGAGGTCTCGTTTCATCTTTTTCGGTCTTCCCCACTTGAGGTTACTTGACAGCCCATGAGAGTGTGGCAGTAAGAAAAGGACACAGTGCCCAGTCCCGAGCACCTCGGGCACTCAGCGTAGTACAGTCCCAGTCCTGACTCCCTTGGTTGGAAAACTGCCAAACAGGCTGAACTTCAACAGTCCACTGACATATTAGCTGGTTTGGCCTCAGTCTGTTTCTCATCCCTGGGACAAAACACAACTCCCACAGCCTAAAGGAGGAAGGTTTGTTTCGGCTCCTGGCTGCAGTCCATGGTTGTCTGGCTCAAGGCTGGACCAAGATGGCAGAGGGTCCTGGACAGCAAAAAAGCTGCCAGGAAGTAAGGAGAAGGGAGGGGTGGGGAACCTGAATATACCTTTGCAGGTCATGTCCCAGGGGCCACCTCTGTGCAGGCTCCTCCTAACAGCACATTCAGCTGCAGAACTCTGGATGAACCCATGAGCACAGCCACCCCCACAATCCATCACCTTCCACACACATGAGATTTGAGGGCCATTTCAGCTCTAAATCATAACAGTTGGGCTACCTGTTTGCCTTCAGCTGTAACCAAGGTGCAGAACCCCTGGCCCTGTGGACAGTAGGATCCCACGAGCTTCTGCCCAAGGCTCAAGTTACTCTGCCTGAAGCGAGAGGGAAACAGGCCCCTGGGATCCCCCAGGGGTACTGAAGACATATCCAAAGTCCTTTCCATTCAGGTTCAGTCCCTCATCCTCCTGGAGAAAACCCTATCTCAGCAGCACCTGCCATCAGAGAGGAAGAACGTGGTTCTGAGGGCAAACGTGACTGTCAGCTTTCCATCACTGACAGAATCTCTGAGATCCAGTTTATAAGGAGGAAAGGCCTATTTCGGCTCATGGTTTCTGCCACTTATCTCTGTTGCTTTGGGCCTGGGGTGAGGTTAAAAAAAACATCATGGTGTAGTATGTGTCACAGACACTGCTCACATCATGGCAGCTAGGAAGCAAACAGAGAGGAAGGGGTATGGGGGGGTTCCATATTCCAGGCCACGCCCCTGTGACCTCACTTCCTCCCACTACGCCCACCCCCTAAAGGTTCTGCTCAGACTGGGGACCAAGTGTCCAACACATGGGCCTTTGGGGGAAACTTAGGATCCAAAATGGATTCATCCTCTGAGCTTTGGCTCCTGCTCAGGCTTTGACAGTGAAACCAGAAACATCTCTTTAAGGAGCAGCAGTGATCAAATGTGTAAAGTTGAAAAATAAGGAAGTTAGATGAGGCCTGTGGTTCTATTTTCCAGGTTTCAGAAACCAAAATTTTTGTCCAAGTTTTGGGGAACAACAGAGACTTGCAAACTTTTAACTTTATTTTTATTTTGGATAGATAGAGCCCTTTTAGTACCATTTCTCTTAAAAGAAAAGCCTGGTAAAGCCAGAAAGAAGGGACGTGTCCTAGGTTTGCAGTCCTGGAAAGCTCTGAAAGTTGATGTCAAGGAACAATATAAATCTTTAATTTTAACTGTGGTTGTTTCTCTGCATTTCAGTGGCTCCTGGACTAAGAAGTGCTTCTGGAATGGATTCATCTTGGAAAAAAACTGGCAAGAACAGAAAACTGAAGTCCAAACGGGCCAAGCCTCGGGACTCCTCCGAGAGCACAGGGTCTGGGGGGCCCCCGCCCCACCGGCCTCCACTTGTGGGCCTGAACGCCACTGCCTGGTCGCCCTCAGACACATCTCAGTCCAGCTGCCCCACTGTGCCCTTCCCTGCCCCTGTGCCCTCTTACTCCCTGCCCATGTTCCCAGCACCAGGAATAGTGCCGGCACCAGGAACTGTGGCACCAGCAGCAGCAGTGCCTCATACCAGTTTTGCAGTGCCCGCCGTGGCCATGGCTGCCCAGCCCGACTTTGCAGTGCAGCCCCTACCTTTCACTGCCCCCGTGGCCCCTGTCATGGCCTTTGTGCTCCCCAGCTACCCCATCCCGGCCACTGCGAGTCTGCCCCAGGCCTTCTTTCCAGGCCACCCCACACTCCCCTCCGAGATGAGCCCTGCCTCCCAGCCTGAGTTCTCCAGTCGGACCTCACTCCCCCAGCAGCTGTGCTCCTGCCCGGCCACTCCTGCCACCCCACCATCAGCTGTGGTGGCCACGGGCAGGGCCTCCCCACCACTCTTCCAGTCCCGAGGAAGCTCGCCCCTGCAGCTCAACCTGCTGCAGCTGGAGGAGGCGCCCGAGGGCAGCACAGGGGCCATGGGGACAGTGACAGCCGGGCCAGACTGCACACCTGCTCGAGACCAGCAGCCCAAGGCGCCTCCTACAGTAAGGATTTCGGGGATCCTTCTCCAAGGCAGATGCAGACACAGGCATCTGGGTGCACCAGGCTCCTACCAGCTGAACCTTGCTGGTTGTTAGGGTTTCTCAGCTGCACAGCCCTGTCAGAATCAACTCGGCTTTCACAGCCAGGGGTCTAAGTGAAGGGTGATAGGCTGCCTGTGTCCATGCAGAGTCCAGACAGCGGCTTGTGACTTGAGCGGGTTGATGGCTCCCCGATGTTTAAATGAGTCTTCTAGGAAAAAATACAATCAAGTCAGGTTCCAGCCACATCCTTCTTGGAGCGAAGTGGCAGAGAGCCTGGCTCCAGGGAAGGCAGGGAAGGGCAGGCAGTGTGGCCACAGGGCCCGTGCCCCAGAGCTTGGCACCCTGGTGTGTGCTCTGCTCCCTCAGTGTTTCCCAGGGGGCTCAGTGTGCCGCATATAAGCACACACTGGGTCCGTCCTCCAGAGTCCTATTTCTGAGGTCAAGGGCCCGGGATGTCCCGGCCTTGTCCCTAAGGCACTAGGCCTCGGCTACCATGAGGAGTGGCCATGCAGCCCACCTTCCCTTGCTCTAGGCCTGCTGTCCATGAAACCATGGACTCAGATTCCTCGGGGAGCCCAAGCCCACAGCCTAATGGGGCTGTCCCCAGCTCCTGCTCGATTTGGTGGCAGCAGCGAATCCCTTACGGGCCCTACAACCCCGGTTCCTTCTGCCTCACCGTGTGTGCCCTGTTGGGACTGAGCCCCCACAAACCGTGCTGTCTCCCTGTGCCCAAAGCACGACGAACCCTCAGATGCTCAGAACAGCGACGCCCTGTCCACGTCCAGCGACCTGCTCAACCTCCTGCTGAACGAGGGCCGCTGCTCTGCCACTGGGTCAGCCCTGTCTGGGAGCGGAGCCTCTGCCACCTCAGACTCCCTGGGCTCAGGCTCACTGGGCTGCGACGTGTCCCGAAGTGGGGCAGGTACAGTGTTCTGGACATGGGTTGGCACCAGAATCAGGCCAGCATCTGCGCTTTGGGCACATCACCCTGCCACTCCCCAGTGGAACACACATGCAGACATGTGTCCCGCCCACACCCTGGGCTTTGAAGGGCCTGCCATCAAAATTCCACTTACCTGCTGACCTTGCCCTGGCAGCCCTGCTCCCGGGCAGCAGTGTGGCCTCCTGAGTTAGCTGGGCTTATATAAATGTACGCCCACTGGCAAGCCTTTCTGTCACCTCACAGGTGCCAGCTGCTCACACTCGGCTCAGACCCAAGCTCCCTGTTCACTGGGTTGCAGGCCTGTGCCCAGCCCCAAGAGGCACCATGACTGCTGCTTACTTAGGGCACTGCGCTTCTCTGGCCCGGAGCTGCAGATGGCATGAGCTTGGGAAGTAAGGCAGGGTTCTGAAGTTCTGCCACCCAAGCTCAGGGCCCCCAGGCAAGAACCCCCGCCGCACGGGGACAGACCTCCATGTTCGAATCATTGGAGTCCTTCAAGCATTAAAAGTGAAGGGAAGATCCACCTGCACAGGCCCTGTTACCCAACCACAAACCACACCCCAGCTCTCCGAGTTGTGACCGCACAAGCACCCCATGCCAGGCTCATTCCATATGTCACTGCTCTGACCTGCCACGTTCCTGTATCCACAGGCAGCAGTGACACGAGTCACACCAGCAAATACTTTGGAAGCATTGACTCCTCAGAGAATAACCACAAAGCAAAACTGAACACCGACATGGAGGAGAGCAGACATTTCATCAAGTACGTCCTACAAGACCCCATCTGGCTGCTGATGGCAGAGGCTGACGACAACATCAGGATGACATACCAGCTGCCCTCCCGGTAACCACTCGGGCTTCCTCTGGGACCCAGGAAGGGCTGGGGTGAAGCAGACCCCAGAGCAAAGGTCCTCCTTGGAATGGGCGGGCACCCAGGGAAGCCCTGTTGTGCACAGACTTGGTGGGTGTGATGAGGAGAAGCTGGGCTCCCCACGACCCACGGTGTGGCCAAGTGAGCTGCAGCGGTCACTGCCTGGTGCCAAGTGTGACTTCTGCCACAGCTTTGTGCTCTGCATTGCGATGGGGCATCTGTCCCCTGCCTGCAGAGAGTTGAGGACCCCAGTCTCCCCTGCCCTTGCTGAAGAGGCTGCAAGGCAGGGAAAGTAGGAGGCCAGGGTTAACTCCTAGCAAGGCTAAGGGGCTTCTGGTCGCAGCCGCAGTACAGGCCAGTGTCAGCTGGGCCGGTGTGGGTGGTCAATGTAGCCCAGTTTAACCAGCTACGCCAGGGGCAGCTGCACCAGCCCACACCCAGCAGCCCATCAAAGGAAAACTGAAATCCTGACCGGAATTTTCGCTTTACTAGAAAGACTATAGGTAGTTCCTAAGGAGATCAAGTTACTTTAAGCAAGGGGTGTGTGGGGGTGCAGGCTGTGACCCCAGAACTCAGGAGGCTGAGGCAAAAGGATGGGTGAAAGTTCAAGGCCAACCTGGGCTACGTAGTGAGTACGAGGCCAGCCTGAACTAAAGTGAGACCCTGTCTCAAAAATAAATAATGGACAAATAAGCAGGAGGATTTATCTTAAAAGGAAGTTTGCATTAAACAGTCTTCAAAGACTACATTACGATGCTGAAAGAGTGGGTAGAACACGGGTCGATGTGACGCTTACCTGCCCTAATTTCCTCCAGGGATCTGGAGTCGGTCCTGAAGGAGGACAGAGAGAAACTGCAGCTGCTGCACAAGTCCCAGCCCCGGTTCACAGAGGCCCAGAGGCGAGAGCTGTGCGAGGTGCATGCATGGGTGCAGACAGGCGGCCTGCCTGCAGCCATCGACGTGGCGGTGAGCTCTGGTGTCTGTCCTGTGCTGTGACACAGCGGCTCTGGAGAGGGAAATGGCTCCATGTTTATTTTAAAAAAGAAAAAAGCTCTGCAAGTTTATGTCCACTGCAGGGGATGTCCTTCCAGCGTCTGGAAGGCCCACGTACCTAGGCTCTGCCCCTTTCTTCAGTTTCATTTTCTGTTTAACAAAACCAAATCCCTTTTCTGTTGTTAAAGCCCTTGAAGCCACCCCTGCACAGCCCTTCTCTGAGAGTTCAAAGCCCTGAGTGTCCCTGGCCCAGGCAGCTTCATCCCCACCACGCCACCCCAGAGCTGCCCTTGCCTTGGTTCCCAGGTCTCCAGCAGCTGCAAGTGACATCACTCAGCCCTCCACCTGTGGGTCACTGTTGGCCAGTGACAGCCACTCCCTGGCCTCTGGGCTCCCATCTTGGGGTGATGCCCTTGGCATGTGTGTGTGTGTGTGTGTGTGTGTGTGTGCATCCTGTGACATCTGTCTCCAGTCCAGCCCTTTGTGGAGCCTTTTCTTTTTGTAACTGTGGGTGGAACCCAGCGCCTTGGCACTGAGCTACATCTCAGCACTTTTTTTAGTTCTTTATTTTGAGATATAGTCTTGATAAGTTGCCCAGGGTGAACTCAAACTTGCAACCCTCCTTCCTCAGCCTCCCAGAGCGCGGGATTACAGGTGTGTGCCACCACGCCCAGCTCCCTTCGGAACTCAATGTACCCCAAACCCAGCTCCCAGGTACCCTTGGAAAAAGCCACGGCACCCATCCCTTCTCACTTGGGGCCCCTTCTTCTAGTTGCTTGGGCTAAGACCCATGGAGCCATCCTGAACTCTCTTCTCTGTAGTCCTGTGTCTCAGCCTTGGGGGGAACAGCACCCCAGTCCACAGGATGGTGCTTCGTCTGCATGTCAGAGGGACGTCCTGACTGCTGACTGCTCCCCGTGAGATTGCATCACCTCTTGGCCCAAATCTCTTCCAACATGGTCCCTTCGCAGTAAGAACACAGGCCACCCAGTCACACAAACCTTACCCCCCACATCTGCTGTCTTATTCCATTTCTCTCCTCAGCCCCTATTCTCCTGTGCTCTGGCCTCCTGATTTCTGGGCAAGCACCTGGCACAGGACCCTTGCACTGCCCTTCCTCTATCCTCCAGCTTCCTTCAAGCCTTGCTCACTTGCCTCTGTATCACCTCCCCATGGCTGCACAGCGCCCAACCCCAGGATCTGTGGCTTCACACAGTGCTCATGGTCACAGAGACCCCAAAGTCAGGAGTTGGAGAGCTGCTCAGCTGGTTGATCCTGGCTCAGTTTCTTGTATGAAGCAGAAGGCAGCACAGCTGGGGCTCCTGGGGTGCTGGCTTTCGGCCAGAGGCCTCGGTTCCTTGCGGTGGGTGCTTCGGTGTCCTCATGAAGTGGAACTGAGGATCAGAGAGCACAGTGGCTTTGTGCCTTCTTCTCAAGTCACAGGAGGAGGGGATGGTGAAATCCTCTGTGGCTCCTCTGTGCCCTTTTCCAGAGCCCTCACATTCTGAATCACTGCTGAACTCCACACAGCTGGTGCACCCTGTTCCCCTTAGTGCAGCATCTTTGCCCCCAGTTCATGGCTTTGCCTCTGTTGCCAGCAGCCTCGCAGTTGTGACAGCTGACACCGATCACTTGCAGTTTGATTTTTTTCTTTTTTTTTTCCTGCTGGGACTTGAACACAGGGACCACTAAGCTCCCTTTTTAAAATTTCATTTTGAGGCCAAGCATGGTGGTGCACACCTGTAATCCCAGCACTCAGGAGGCTGAGGCAGGAGGATTGCCATGAGTTGAAGCCAGCCTAGACTACATAGACTCTGTGTCAAAAAAAAATTTTTTTTTTAAGTTTTGAGAAGAGCTAGGGATATGACTCAGTGAGCAGGGCCAGGGTTCAACCCCCAGTACTACAAAGGATGAAAAGTAATTTCATTTTGAGACAGTCTCCTTAAGTTGCCCAGGCTGGCCTCGTCCTTGCAGTCTTCTTGCTTTAGCCCTGCTCATAGTGAACAACCAAGATCTTTGGTCTCAGGAGCCTTACCAGTGTCCTTTTCTTTTCTAAGGAGTGTGTTTACTGTGAAAACGAGAAAGGCGATGTGTGTGTGCCGTGTGAGGAAGACATTCCGTCCTTGGGATTCAGCGACGCCTTAGACACCAAAGAGGAGAAGGGGCACCCCCCAGACCACGAGAAGGAAGAGCAGACATAACCCCGGGTGACAGTGATGATCTGCTTCAGGTGGTGCTTGGGACACACAGAAGACCTTCACGTTTGTTTCTAATGAAATGGACATATTTATTTACATTGCTTTTTTTTTTTATTTTAGAAAAAGACCCCAGTTTTCTGAAGGGAGGACTTCAGGCTGTGGAGGGGGAGGATTTAGACAGGAATACATTTTCGTATTTAAAATACAAACATGGAGTTTGGGGGGATGGGTTGAGACGCCGGCTGCTGTTGAACTTGAGGACCTCCTTCCTCTTTGTGAGAGTCAGGGAGGAAGCCCCAGTGCCCTCAGACATCCCCGACTGGGGTGGCACTCCCACTCAGCATGCCAGCGCCTTCCAGCCCTGGAAGGCTGCTGCAAGACACCAGGCCATCCCGCAACAAATCACCAGGAAGCTGCGTGCAGCTCTGAGATGAAGGCTCCTACTTTCTGAAGTTTTCCCAGGGTTCACTTGGACTGCGTCAAGTCTGCCCTCTCAGGACCATTTTTGCCTAAATTGCCATTAGTCCAGTCAGGTGTTTGCCAGCACTCATCAGCTGCTCCTGATCTTCCAGAATGTTCTTGGGAAGCATGTGTCAGCACAGCCTTGGTCCTGTAGGGGAAGCCTTTGAGTGTGACACAGCTTTTGTTTGTACTAAGCAAGTTGAAACGCTGGCTCTAGACAGATGCAGCCCAGGGGTTTGTGTGACCAACTCAGTCGGATTAATGCCTGCACAAGCTGATGTGTGAGGCTCCAACCTAAGGACAAATGCAGCTGGGTCCCTAATGCCATGGGCAAAGCCCGGTGTGCAGAGAATTCACCGTGAACATTCCACCTGGCTGATACACGGTTCTTTACATGTTGGCCATGATGTTCTACAAAGGACCCGAGAATGCTGTAGAAATATGCAGGGGGTCTATGTGGGGCTGCACGGTTTCTGCCCTCTGTCCTGGCACCTCTCAGTGCTGCTGGCATTTAAGTCACCGAACCCTTGGGGAGAATGAGGCCACCCTACCCAGCTTCACCAAGCTTCATGCTGCACCAGAAGTCCCAGACACTGTTTGGGGAAGCCTGATATTAGTCCCTGGTGTGAAGAAGTCACCACCCGTGGCCACCTGACTTACAACTGGCCAAGTTCCTGAACCCTGAAAGTCCCTTGACAAAAGCGGCTGCGAGAAAGCTGGGGACTCCTGTCCACTGCTGGTTTTCACAGTAGACCATCTCATGCCTGAATATTAATCCTGTTTCTTATAAATGCAAGAACTTTGTTTTGGTTTTTATGTAGTTCAGGCTGGCCTTGAACTCACTATGTAGCCCAAGCTAGCCTCAAACACACAGTGATCCTCCTGCCTCGGCCTCCTGAGTGAAGAATGCTTTATTTTTTAATTTGCAAAGCAACATCACCTGAAGATGCCCAAGGTAAGGTAAGCTGGCGCTGTTGTGGAAGTTAGATGTGACAGACTGCTGGCTGCCTCTACAGCCAGATCCGAAGGGGTAGATTATATCCCAAAGTTACACTTACCCTACCTAAAGACAAAACTGCCAAAACATTCTCTACTGTCGTGAATGTTTACCCTCAGCATTGTTTTATTATTTAATATATGCTCATTGATTGTTAACTGCTAAGAAGCTGACTTAGATAATGTTGTGACTCTGTTTACGTGCTGCCAAGCACCGAGTCCTGTTTTCTTTGGTATGTGTGCTTACACGGGTGTCAGGAAACTTTTTCTCGATTTAAACTGAGCCTTCTTTTTAATGTATTCCTGACAAGACACGTAAATAAACTCAGAGTTTGTGTAACAATTTGTTGAGCCTTGCGGGACAAGTGGTTTGTGTGCAAACCAAACTTCCTTCACCCAGTGCAATATATTTGCGTGACTGCTTGTGTCTTTTTATGACTTTTTTGCCTTTTAGAAAATTGGTAAATAAAGCAGGTATATTTTTATTTTCACTTGTATGCTTGTTCGTTCATTTCCTCCATGTTGCTAGGGATCCAACCTGGGGCTTGACACATGCCAAGCACAGGCTCTGCTGCTGAGCCACCCCCAGCCCTGTGTGTTAACAGCACAGTCAGAAAACTGCCCAAAATGAAAAGATCCAAGAGTATTTTAACAAAAGGACCCCCAAAGTTCTGCACAGAGGAAGCCTGGACCCCTAGGGCTTCCCGGGACAGTTTGCTTCTCCCCACTTCCCTCTGTGTCACCCTTTCCTCCCGGCTGCACTGGTCCTGCAAACCCCACCACCACTTGGAAGTGGCAGATGGGCTTTAAGCTCCCCTCCACTCCGCATGACCTCCGCACTCCCTGTCCCCTCTTATCTGCTGCAGCTGGGCTGGCTGCCTGTGTGCTGACCACAGTGCTGAAGACTCAGGATGCTTTGCAGAAACACTTTGGGTCCCTGTTGGGGATAATATGCACTCTGGCCCATCCCCCCACCCTAGTCCTTTCCACAGGATTGGCCGGGCCACAGAAGTGGAGGCTGAGGCTGGAACAGACGGCGAATGGTCCTGGACCCAGTGACTGCCTCCAGAAAGCTAGCTGTCTCCTGCCAAGTGCCAATGAGAGGACCTGGCAAAATTCTGGCCAGCACAGAGCTCTGCACTGCACCCTCAATGGCCTAGCTGGCTGCTCACTGACCCAAGAGCCTTCCAAGGACTTCACTGCATTTCTCTTCACCATACAACTCCAAGGGCACCCGTCTCTATTTCCAAACCAAAAGGAGATCTGTCTCGGGCAGACTGCCCATCTGCACTCGGACTGCTAACCGGCCCCCTTTGGCCACCACGGCCTTGCCCAACCTCTGCTGGCCTCTGCTGCTGGCTCTATGGGGATGCAAAGGTCCAAATGCTTAGGAAGTCTGCGCTCAGGTAAGCTTTGAAGGCTGGATCAGGTCAAGCAACAAATGGCAGGAGGTGGAGAAGCTAGGAGAGGCCAAAGAAGGGAGAGAGGAAGGGTTTGGTGGCCCATGATGGACAGAAAGTCCAAGCCACTCATTGATGGCCCTGCCAAGGGAGGCTGAAGCTGATTTCACAGATGGGGCCTCAGGCACCCCTCAGTCCAGCTAAGGACTCCGCTGCTTCAAACACCCTGCTCTGTCCTTGTGCTCCTTCTTGTAGGTGTGCTAGTCATGATGAGCATGTCTCATGGCTGGATTTCTCTTTCCCTTAGCTCTAGACATATACCTATCCCCATTTTGTGCCCTATAGTCATAAACAAGTCTTCCTTGCCTTCTCCATAGATTGATTCTATATCTTAAAAATTTATAGTGTTTCATTGTTGTGGCTGTGAAAGAGTTCTTGGCTCTTAAGCCCAGCTGTGCTAAGATCACATTCCTTTTCTTGGGCAACTTCTTGTTTTTCCTGGGCTTCCTGGTTGCCTTTTTTCTCCTGTGCCTCTTGCCTTTATCACATCTTCCTCTGAACCCCTACGCTCAAGTCATCGGTTAATCAGGTGCCCCAGGGGTCTCCACCCCAGGCCTCCCCGCACCCTGATCCTGATGTCCTGGTGAACTGCGTTTTACGCACAGCATTCTGAAATGTGCTTAGTCTGGTTCTCTTGGATAATAGGAGTATGAAATAGTTTGCACACTTGGGAGTGTGAGAAATACCACTGAGTTTATCCTCTCCTATCTCAGCTTTCCCAAGTCCTAGAACTTTAACTGCGTTCATTCAGGGGTCTTTTTTCCTGGGCGGTGATGACTAAGTAAGGAAAGTCAGCTCCAGGCACCTTGGGGAGCCACCCTTCCAGTGCTCACCCTGTCAGCCTTAAGCTCCTGAGCTGGGGAGAGAGTGGGGTGACAGGGGCCATGGGATGAAGTGTGGCTTCACATGAGGCGGTGAAGACAGGCTGGGGAGCCCGGGTCTGAACACAGGCTTTCTCAGAGGCAGAGCGGGACCAGGAGCAGGGGCCTGGGTTGTCTGAGAGGCTGGGGACTTGACTTTCAACCAGTTCAATCAATCTGAAGCTTGAGGTCTGCCAGACCCATTTTTAGGAGGCAGAGGTCTCTGCCCAGTCCCACCACCATGTCTATGGCTCCTCCCAGGTGATCCCCTCCCCAGGGCTACGCCCCCACCTTCTCTTCCCACCCATCCCCTCCCTGGGGTCAGGTTTTATGCTGGGGTGCCAGCAGGTAGTGAGGCATCCCAGTTAGACATTCATAGAGTGGAGGGGCTCACAGCACCCCCCAACAATCCTAGCACAGGAGTGTAGTACAGACCTGGTAGAGACATGGAAGGGCAGCGAGGTCCCCCAGGGAAACCAAGGATTGAGCCACTGAAGTTGGAGCTGTGTCCGGAAGGCTGGTGTGAGTGAGGGCCCAGGCAAGAAGGCTTCAGAGCCACAAGCCTGCCAGGTGGGGAAAGACACAG